GGGGGGGGGGGAGTACGACATTGTACTCACTTTTGTGGGGGGTCAGCACCGTCGATTGCGCTATTCTCAAGGTACCGCCGGTTGATATCTTGTCCAATCTAATACCCCTCCGCAAAATACGTCTGCACCAATGTCATAAGCATACGTCGCACATGTACAAACCGGGGGGGACCCTGTAGCGAGTACGAGAAGAAAAACCGAAAGTGACTTCACACGTTGGTGGTCGCCCTGGACTTTGGCAAGTGGAGGGTATGCGAGATGAAGGGTTGGGTGTGGGGCAGGTAGACGTGGATGGAGGTAGAATTCCTGACGGAACGCCGCGCACGGAGCATTAAGTGCTCGACAAGGATGCTTGGCAAACTGCCTGAACACCGTGTCGGTCTACAAGCTCCCGGAGAACCTTCCTTTCGGCCTAGGACGTCGTGGTGCCACCACGAACGCAAACGCCGGCATCACTTACACTATATCTCAGAAGACGTGTTCAGGGTGTGGTCGTGGCTTCCCTACGGAGAATCAGCATACCGTGGTTGCAACTCAGTTGACAGACGTGGGTGCAGCATCTCTGTGGGAATTTGTGTCAGTACCCTGCTCAGCATGCGGCTCGCCTTGTGGGTATGAGCGAAATTGACAGTGTGTGTGCCGGAGGCAAACGTTTTAGATACCCCCACCCTCATCCACTCATCGACAGGCTACATAGTTGTCCTGCGCCTGCACTGTGCCCTCACTGTATGGCTGCCTTTTTTGTTGCTTCTCTTGTGGTGGTAGTGCTTGTGGCAGCATTCATGCTGTCGGCGCCGGCTGTCGAGCACTAAGTTTGATGACAGCGGAAATCAGAGAAAATAGGGTGGGCATCCCCACGTCTTGTTTGCGGGTGTCGACAGGCCGTGCACACTCTCCCGAATGTTCATTAAAGACCGGTGAATCGGTGGCAATCGCCCGACCTTCCCCAAAATCCTGGAGTGCCATCCCGAACGAAACCGCTGGAGATCATGCGGGGTTTACCCGCCGGGTACGATATATCGGTCTGCTAACAATTTGCTATGTGTGTCTTGTTGCAGGGGCCAGGCATGTCGAAAGTGAACGTGAACACAAACGGGTGTGCGACGTGCGGCATCCACGGATTGGCCAGTGACAACTGGCGGGAGACTGGATTGTTCAACTACAACAACAGCTACCTGGTGGAGCTGTCTATCCTGTACAGATGCCTGGAGACCTTCACCAGGGGTACGACCAAAAGCGCCTTCTTCGAGACGTTTTTAGAACCTTTGGCGAGTGACCTGGTCTGGAGCAAGGCGAACCCGGATCTAGCAAAAGGTAAATGTTTGTTCCACGTTGCTACATAAATGTGTTCGTCAAGACCCACCTATGGTAGTCATCTTTCTCACCAATCGCTGTTTAGCTGGCAGTGTAGCAAGCTATTGAGGCGTGTCTCGCAGAAAAACATGGCATGTTCGCATTGGATACTGAAACTACAAGGGCTCCTCACTTTGCACAAACTCAGATAAAATCGATCCTGTTTTCGAAGTCGGTCTCCTTGTAAGCTGGCGATCTCAAGATCATTCTGTTTCCCGAACCCACCCATTGCACCATTTCCCCCGCGGGCATGCTTGATTATAAATAGAAAAACAAGTAGTGCCCACTCTACTCTGCTAGAATGCGAAGCGGTTCGTTGTTGTCGAAAAAATGTGTTGATATTGCATCGAGGGGGGGGCTTGGTGCAGGCTCATTCTCTTGTTGAATTTGAACAGGATGTGTGTAGTGCCAAACCACCGCATTTTGCCGACGTTTTATTCTTCGCGCATGACCACGTCCAGGCTCGCAAACGGCACCAACTTGCTCAACGTGCTCAACAAAAAATTCTTAACGTTCCTGGCCCTCATCTACCACACTGTCGAGTTTCGGTACTGGATGTAGGGGAAGTTTCGCCGATCCTCACTTTCAACGCCTGCATGAAGATCGCATGCAACTGACTCTGGGGCAGGTGACCGCGTCGAGACCCGAGCATGACGTCAACACTGACCTCGTCATGAATCTTCTGCAGTTGAGCATTGTATCGCCGGCCTGGTTCGGCGGCAGAAGGGTACAACTTGTGGTGGGGGCCGGGGAGACGGTTGGAAACGCGCCAGCGTGGGTGTCGCCAGACATCCGACTGTCGGAGATCTTCCACAAGACACAGCGTGGGGTGATGCAGGGAAGAAACAACACCGCCTTCGTTGAGCAAGGCAATGGCTCTCTCCTTATCGGGAGGCTGGAGGGGAAGGCGATCGGTGACTTGTCCGGCATGGACGTGGCGACCCTGAGAGGCCACATGAAGGCCTGCTGGCCCGATGGAGGCTTTCAAGGTGAGTGCAGAGTCACTGCATAGAGAATTAGAGTGATAAAGTGGTTATGGTCTGCGGGCTCAGCTACGTGATTGTGTGTGTGCCTTCAAGAAGAACTGAACGCACGACCGCGTATGCATGGGCGCAGATTTGATCACCTGCTTTGGCATCAAACCGTTTTTCGTTTTTCATGTGGCGGGTCGGGGGTCTTGTGTCCCCGAACACGCCTGTATACGACTGCCTTCTTTGGTTCTCTTTGTTCACCACCCTACCTCCGCCTCCCCTCTATTTCACGCCGATTATTTTTGTCTTTCGGGTGTCGAGCGGGGAGTTGTGTAGCAGAACAGCGACCGAATATGTTTGGTCTGGGAAGCAACCCACTCTCCCTCCAACGTGTAGAGGTTGACCCTGGAAATTGCCCGAAAAATACCTGGATCGCTCCGTGGGCTAGTTTTCCAGATTATTCGACGTACCTGTGGAGAGCATGCCCTCATTCATATTCCTCACAAGCAGTACCCCTTGCCCTTTGTGACCATTCTGATCCAGATATCCATTGTTTGCCCGTGCAAGTCCAACGACGCTGTTGATGTTGTTTGGAACCATCAACCATTTCTTACCATTTCTTGGCGTACGTCAGTTAGTAGGTGGCTGTTGAACGACGCGTGTTGTCCGGCCATCGCAGGATGGCTGTATTCCTCTTATGCTCTCTTGCGTCGTGTGCCATTTATTCTTCTTGCTTGGAGGTACCAAAGAGTCGATGTTGTCGATCCTGCAGCAGCTACACTCGTTTTGGGAATCAGATGACAACCCCAACCGCGGGTCTTGCTCGAAGCATTTCGTGAGCCGAGAACGTGTCGTTTCAGAAGGGGTGACGGGTGTCTTTACGCCGAATAAGGTCATGGTTATCCACAAGGTGCTGCGTACTGCGGAGAGTGCGGTGGACATGAGCGATTGCGTAGGGGCTTGCCAGGTGAGAGGACGATTTTGTGGGCGATGCCTCTCCGTCGTGTACAGTGGGAAACACATGCCGGCATCTACATTGCCTTGCCTTGCCGAGAGAGATATCAAACGTTTAGTTCATGTTTAAATGCTCAGTGCGATGTAGGTTTTAGTCCTCTGGGGCACGAAGGAGTGCCGCGGTTGTTACATGACTGAACCAAAGGATCTCGTGCTGGAGAGCGTCACTGCATAAAGCACGAGAGCACTGCCGAAGTAGGAATAATGTGCAACGCTACAAAGGAACAAAGGTATCATCACTACTAATGGTACCTGAAAACAGTAGTCCCGCAAACCTAGGTTGCCCCTCCGTGCCCCGGGCGAAGGGCCGAAAACAATACTTGATGATTGTTTACAATTTGCTTTCGTGGTGTGTAGAGCCCACTTTACGTAAGCCGCGTATGATGGGCCCATCGTGTGCTACTATTGTCTTCGTTTCACACAAACTTTGAGCGGATTGGGTGGTCTAAACATGCTACGTGTCCGTTTTGTGGTCATGACCCGGGTGTTCGCAAGAGTAGATCCTAGCTCGCGCGTTGGGGTACCCGGACACAAACCTGGGTCCCCCAGCGAGGCGCCCATGATGTATAGAGGGATTGGAACCCCCCCTCCCTCGCACCCCCCCCGGTGTTTACCATCGGGGTTGGGTTTTCGTCGCGTGGCAACGACGTTGTAAAACAAGCCAATTCACTTCGTGAACTCGGGCAACCAGGTTACCGTTTTTTTCTTTGTACCTCTGTTTTTACTTGGCGGTAACCATAATGGTGGTCGAGTAGATCATGTTGTGCGGGGTGGAGAACCCTCACTCCGCGCAAAGGGGATGATCGCACCACGTTGTGTTAAAATGGTCACGCATCCTCGAGGCAATAACACAGTGCTTACAACTGTCTCTGGAAGTGAAAGCGCCAGAAAATAAATNTGTACCTCTGTTTTTACTTGGCGGTAACCATAATGGTGGTCGAGTAGATCATGTTGTGCGGGGTG